AGGAAGAGACGATAAAGCCGATAATTAAAACGAGGTCGATAGGTTTAATTTAATGTGCGATTAATTGATTTATCGTTTAACGCGACAGGCCTACAAATGTCCATCTAAATTTCAGGCAATGTGCAGCAGATAAGTTAATGGCTTGCTTATGCTGCATGCATCATAATAGTCGCAGTTTGAATTTCCTTTTTAAGAAACAAAATGCTAGTCAGAAATGAATTCAAATAAACCCGTAATAATTCAAAGATAAATTCTGTTAGCTTTGACTTTCAAAAGACTGTGGAAATCACACATTTTTTTTCTTTTACCAAAGGATCAGTTTGCAGTACTCCAAAGCGGTCCGTGGGCATCCTCTCTTCTCCAGGAACATCATGTGCTTATAAAGAGCCAGATAAAATGCTCTGCAAACAAGGATTATTAAATTACTAGATTACTGAGCCATAAAACATAATTTACCTTCAAAATGTTAATCTGGGGTCAAACTGACGCTTCCCAACACCAAACGTAGGAGATTTTAAAAAAAAGGACACAACCAACCTGTTTTCTGGTCGCAAATAATCCAGCTGGCTGGTTCCTGATGTTAGGCTGAATAAAGGGTGAAAAGCGCACTCGAAGCTGTACAAAGCCCGTTCTGCACAAAGAATAAAAAGAGAAGACATTTTTCTAAAGGAGTTCATAACAAGATATGCTGTTGCTGCCCAATGAAGAAAAGCAGGGAACAACAATAAAACAAAACATGCTCTGGCAGTCATAATCTTATTTACAATCTTACCAGCGTGTCTTTACAACCTAAAATATTGAAACTGAAAACCTCTGTCTTATGGTAAAGTTGGGCTGAATCAATTATCCAAGGAGGAAGACAAATGTCCTTTGTGACTCTTCCACATTGAGTGAAAAAATGTTAAAGTACAGAGACTGTGATAATAAACATAGCATTGTGCTTTAGATGAAGCCTGAACCCTGACTGCCTAACAGAGGCTGGTTTGTTGAGTCACATTTTGCAAAAGCCCACAGCTCTGAAATTATTCAATTTGATAAACTCATAAACAAAAATAGGAGACATCAGTTTATTTGTCATCATTTTTGTCCAAAGTCGCTGACAAACACAACTCTAAATGAGAAGCAAAAAGTGCACTGATCTCTGCAGGATTTAAAAAAGTAGCTTTTTAATTTAGTTTCGCCTTTACTTTAAGGATCCTCACAAGACCAGGAATAGTGAAATGTAATGATCTGGACACAATATTCTGCTTGTCCTCTTAGGATACGATAATGAAAACCAGACTTATAATTGACAGCAGAGTATTTTCTCAAGAGAGGCTGCATCGTTTCATTTTTGTGCCAAAATCAGTTGTCTATAAAAAGGACAAACTTGGAACAGATCGACTTTGTTTTCTAAAATAGATAAGCCTGCGAGGCTTCATGGACGAACCGACAAATGAGTTAGAAATGCAATATGAAAAACCCCCATGTTCAAATCAACTAAGGAATGTTTTACAGGGTCGTACTTGGGTAATACTTGATACTAACCAAAGTAAATGACTGTAAATCTTCACATCAGGCTTTCAGTGTGCATGTAAAACACAAATCCTTTGTTCCTAAAAGGAAACTGACATTGGGTGCAAAGAGGTCCTCTAAAAATTTCAGCTCATAAAACTTATTGCATTCCAGTTTTCTCCTCACCGATGAGGTCGCGGGCCATCTCTTGATCCTCCTGTATCCTGCAGACGTCAGAAAGCTGCAGCAGGGAATCAATGTGATACGGATTTAGCTGAAGCAGAGCCTGCAGAAAATAAAGTGGAAAACAGAAATATGCAGCTGGATTTTAGTAAATAGAGATAAATTAAAAATACAGAGTTTCTGCAGTCAGTCCTTCTCCGTTGTTAAACAGTCGCCATCAGAAGGAGGAAACTTATAAACATTAAAACGGGATACCTAGGGATCCGATAACCTCCATTTATAAAGGTGAAAACATCTCAATGTTTTCTATATAAATGGTTACTAAAGAGCCATAACCAAATTAAATACATACTATATAAACTTCAGATATAAAAACAGTACAATTTGAAACAAGCAAAAATAAATAACTACAAGAAAGTAGAAAATTAAAACGACAAAACTAAAATATAAAACATAAAATAAACCAATATCTCGAAAAAAAATATTATTTTGCTTTTAATGTTTTGCTCTATTTATTATAACTGTTTGTTTGGTTGGACTCAATAGGTTCACTTTGAAATTAATTTCCTGACAATAAGTCATGGTAAAATACAGGAGGGACATAGACATTGATTTCTTTACAGCAAAGTAAAGACAGATATTTATGATGATATTTGCTGCCTGGAGATGATCACAAACAGAGCAGCAATGAAAAGCTAAAGGACTTCTTTGTATCTTTGTGTAACTTTTACAAATGTTTTCTTAAAAATCTCTGATGAATTTTTATCAGTGTTTTTGAATGTGCCATGTCATTTAAAGTTCCAAAATGGTAAAATATTAACATCAAAGTTACTTGGCAAAACAAACTGCAGGAGTTTAAGCTGGAACAAAATATTTAGCAACAACTCCACTGGATTGGCATAGCTTCACCTTGTAGATTAAAGATAAAACAGATTTAAGCTCCATGAGAGGACGACTCACCACGATATTGTTGGGATCCATGGACTCAACAGCATCTAAGAACTTGAACTGCATTTGTTGGTAGTCCCGGTTGTGCTCAAAGGTGAAATAATGAACGCCATTCTTGGACTCCAGCAAGGTCATCGAGATTCCTGAGCAGGCAGAAATTAGGGTTACAAACTAAAAAGAATTTAAATACAAAGCATGTGAGCTAATTTATGTTAAACTTGTATTATTATAACAATAAAAAAGGTGAAAACTATCAAATAAACTTTATTTAGTAAAGCAAGCTCTTATGTAATGCTCTTTACTCTAAGGAATAAGATTTATACAAGCAAAAAAAAAAAATTATGAAACTACAATTCAATACAAAAATTAAAATCTACAATAAGCCAAACTGTCAACTTTAATAAGATAATAATGCAAATTTGTGGTACCCTGCAGTTAAACATGACAAGTAATGTGGCTATTCCAGTGATTGTAGGTTTTAATCACCGCTAAATTACTGCAAAACAGAAAGTAGCATGCAAGACATAACACAATAACCTATTAGGAGTTGCTCAGATGACCTGTTTTAAGCATAAACAAGAATAGGAACTGTGTGAGCAAGTTACTAAACACCTAAAACACAAGGCTCTGTGTGCAGATGAGGCCTGGCTTCGAACTTTTCATAATAACCTAAATTGACATTTGTGGGGGGAAAATGCCATCAGGCTATGGCGTGAATATCCATCAGACAGATAAGGTAAATGAATCAATAAGGTTTTTCAGTGTGTGAACAATAAGCCAGTCTTTGTGATGACGTCATGGTCCCAAAAAATGCTCTTAGCCAGTTTTATGTTGCCTGACTGCAAATCTGGGAAACTGAGAAAAGTTTTGCTAAGGTACTTTCAAGCTCTTGTAAACGTTGCTATTCAAGCTCTAGTAATAAGAGATTGAATAGCAACGTTTATAACAGTCTCGTAAATGTTGCTATTCAGGTTTCCTAAAGAACAACAGCTGGATGTCGTAAATAATAATTAAATGAAGGAGAGTTGAACAGATATACAGGACAACTGAGCTCTGAAATCATGTGGCTCGTTATCATCTTGTGTCTCTGCAAAAATATTTCTAAATCTAACACTTTACAACCTCACACTTTAGTATATTTAACAGGGATGTTGTGTCATAGACTGACACCAAGTAGAGTGTTTAATGTTAAAATAATGTAGAAGGTTGTGTTGGTCTATCACATAAAAATTAAATATTTTATTAATATTTAGGATTAAAGACCCACCGGGTCGGCTAAAGCGAGGCCAGCTCTCCTTTGGGCTGGTCATCCAAGTGCTGCGGTGAAAGTGCCTGTTTCTTTGCCGAGGTCTGTTTAGAAAAAAAAAAAAAAACAACCAAAAAACAACTTTATGAATCTTACACATCGAAATGACACAACACTTTTTATTTTTAAAACCTCTTACCTTTGATCACCCAGAACAGCCCGAGCTCCAAAGTATCTCTTCAGTTCAGTCTCTGAGTTGAGATTCCTGATGACAAACCAGAAACAGTCACTTTGACGACATTGATGAGCTGTGAAGATTCACTCCATGTGTTTTTTTTTTTTTTATATTTATAATTTTCAGTTTAAAACAAAATGTTACAAAAATAGCATAGACAACGATGAGCACATTGTGCGGCAGCTACCACTTTCTGGCAGCTAACGTTTCCCTAAAAATGAATCATGATCTAACAATCTACAACAATATTAGGAAAACATGTGATCTGCAGTAATACTGGTAAATGTTGCAATAGCAATATGACTCTAACAATGAATGTTGATGAATAAGTGCTACAGTCTTTCTGCTTTTGGTAACAGCAAATATTGATGCCAGATCAAGAAGATTCAAAATGTCCACCTCAACAGTGATTTATGGAAGAAGTTGCTCTGGTTGCCGTCTGCTCTTTCAGCATTGGGACACCTTTACTGAAACTTCTTAATGTCTGGTCCACCTTAGTACCACTTATCAGCCAAACCTGTTCATGCTGCATGAAACTACTGGTCACTACATATAATACTGGGACAGAGAGTCAGAATGCATGGTACTTAAAATAACTGGCCAACATTTAAGACAGTCCAGTCAGTTATTTTTGATAATCTTCTTACAAATAGTAATACTGAGATAATGATAAATTTGCAATGTATTGTGCAGCCCTGGTCACAATGACCTAAAAATTAAAGTTGTGACATGTAAGGATTGATCACAACCAAATTTTTACCAACATCAATGAAATGAAAAGGAAAACATTATGCTTCATGAAATCTGAATACATGAAACTCAATTTATTTATTTTTCATTATAAATTAATTAAAGCAAGATTTTCATCCTCTTTAGCTGCAATCTAAAAGCACCCGACAAATCCGGCAGCAAGTTCATGCTTTCATGCTCTGGTTTGAATCTATAAAGCTGTATTTCTCTGCTTCTCCTATATTCAGATGATAAGAAATGTTTCAGCCTCGTCGATAATTTTACACCAGTGGAATCACTAATTTTCTTATGACCTTTATTTTAAGTCTGTGACTACTGGTCACTACATATAATACTGGGACAGACTAACTTTGCTGAATTATCTCCTGTTGTGTAACAATTGAAACATATAATCTTGCTAATATATCCAATGCATTACCATGACAGAGCACATTAAAATCAGAGTTGTGTTCACGATTTTTGTCAGTTTTCTATGCATCTTCAGCGTCAAACAGGTTGGCGTTCACACCTGTGTTCCACATGAAGCACAGATCTCCTGACTGAGCAGCCGCAGTCCTCACTTTGCAGACTCACACCGTTGGACAGCTCCACGTTCTCCAGCAGTAAATCAATATTTTCAGTTGCAGCTCCCTAAAAGTAACAAAAAAGTGCATGGTGAATGAGTTGTGGCGTCATATTAACTGTTATGTTGTTGCCAAGATTAGTAAAGATTCTGTAAACCGAGGCGGCATTGACTGCATAAACTCTACAACACAGAATAATTTGGTGTAAAACTTTCTGCCTTATAAACTGTTAATTATACTACAGATGTAAATTAGGCTCAGACTGAATTATGGCATTGTCCTGTCAGAATCGGATATATCCCATACATTTAATTGTCCATCCTCTGATGTTTTGGTTTTCTTCTTTTTTTTCTTCTTTTTAGCTCTGTCTCCTGACTGTAAAAGAAAAAGAAAACACACGAGTCATAAAAAATGTATCTTTAGATAAAACGTTTAAGTTAATTAACTTTACCTTTGTGGACTCTTCCTCATTCTTTTGATCTTGGTTCTCAACATCTTTGTTATTATTCTTTCTGGTTCCACTTCCTTTATTTTTCTCTGGATCTTCATCAGGTGAAACTCTATCTGACTCATTTTCTGCATCACCTATCTGATAAAAAAGTCAAAAAGGTGTATTGGTTGGAGTAAACCATAAAATGTCAACATATTGCATGATAAATCTGGTCTTGACCAGATTCTAAAAAAAATTTCAGTAACTTCAAATGTACAAAAGCACACAACAAATCCTGAATTGACAAATGTTAAAAGATAAAGCAGTCGGTCAGTGTCAGTACTCTGACAGTCAGCATATGTCTATATAATCTCTATAATATGTTTCTGAGTAAGAGGCAACATTACAAAACAGAAATTTGTCCTAGTTACATAATTTTTACACCGGTCAATAATGTAGGAATGAAACTAATTTAACCTCCACTCTGTTATTTTGGTTTCTCCTTAGACAAGCTTTAAAATGTGTTTAACTTAGAAGTACCTACTGAGTTGGCTAGTCGAACAAAACTCTAGCTTGTTAATATTTAACTGAGAGTAACTGTTAGCATGTTTTAGCTATGTAAGCTACCAGGAGCTGATGTAAACAACTGGAGACAAAAACTGCCGTTGCTGTACAAGAAACACGTCACTCCACTTTTATCGTCGCCTTACCAGTTCATAAATGTTACTGAAGTTTTTCTGAGCCTTATTTTTCTTTGTCTTTCGGCTGCTGCTTTTGCTATTGGAAGGAGGAGAAACATTAGCAGCATTAGCCGTGTCCAGCTGCTCCTCCCCAACCTCAGCTTCAGCCTGCTCCTCCGGGCTGTCTCCCAAACTTAGGTCCCCGAGGTCCAAGGCCTCCTGACCCCGCTGTTTCCCTTTGAGCCTTCTCAAGGCCCGTGTAGACATTGTAGACTATATGTGGGTTGACTAAATATAAACTGTATACTGTTAAAATGTTGTTTTCATAGCTGTCAATACCACACCAGTGAGATGAGGGTAAAATTCAGACTCTTTCTTCTTCTAAGTGTTTACGGACAGTTAGGATGAGGTCTCCCTCTAGAGGTTAGATGGAATATTGCATCACTTTTTTTCTTCTTTTTCAAATAAAACCAATTGAAATGTGCTCAAGTTAGACAAATTGCTATTATTAAATAATGTATTTATTTAATAATAATAATAATAATAATAATAATAATAATAATAATAATAATAATAAGTGGAAACAACACTTCTCTTAGCATCACCAAGGAATGGACAGTCCTTCCTGGCCATCCAGTATTATAGTAATGGCCAAACATAGCTACTTTTCCTACTACATGGAGGCTTTATTATGCAAAATTAAGTTTCTAAACTGTTGCAAACTGTGGCAGTCAGAGTCTGGTTGTCATGAAATAGCAAAGGTTTTCCGTTATTTAGCACTACACCATGTGCCTTTTTTTTTCCATATTTACTGTCATTTAGGAAGAACAGTGCGGTGTATGATTGGTAGCTGTCTTCAACATGCAGGTGTGAGAATGCTTCAGGGGATAAAAAGACTGCAGGAAGAACTTCAGTTGAGTAGTGAAGGATTTTATTTCAAACTGCAGCTTGTATCAGGACAACCATATTATGAGGATATTTGGCCCAGTTGTAGAGACCTCTAGGCAGCACATACATACAGTACCAATGTGTAGGTCTTGCTTTCTACTGAGTTTTTTCTACACCTTACATATCAAGTCTTCTTTAGATATTGGTTTATTTTGTCTCCACGTTGTGCTGGGATCCATACCTGTGTTTGTGGATCCCATAATGTACCCAGACTCTTTGAGCTTGAGTCAACACTGTGGAGCAGAGTTTCAGTCTGAAAACGTTCAAGAACTCTGCAGAAATTTGACTGCAGAGTTTAATTTATCAGTTCAAACTTTGACTATAGCTAAAATCCTGTGGAAAATACTCTCCAACTTACTGCTATTTCAAACCTAGATGTTTAAAAATTCTTAAATTGGAAAAAAAATGGCAACCAAACATGCTTTTAGATGTAATGTGAACTAGAGTGTCACATTACATCTAATGTGACAGTCTAGTTCTGAAAAAAGGAACCATTTTTTCATGGTTCAGGTTTCCAAACAGCCTGCAACCCATTAAAGATAAACTGTGACCAGTAACAGGAAAAAAAGTACAAAAAAAAAAAAGAAAACCTTGTTGCCTGCGCAATAAAATGACTCAAACATGCAAAACTTGTTTCACAAGCAAATCTATAAATACACTACTTCCCTCTTGAAAAGAATAATGGATTGTATTTAGCATGATTGTAGACAAAAAGAAAAAAATACTTCGGAGAACAAAAGGAAAAGGGGATTTCTGTAAGACTGAAATCCATTTGTTGCGAAAAGAGGAACTTGCAAATGCTATTTCTTTAATTATTTTTAAAGGAAACAGAAAAAACAGAAGTCTGCAACCAAAGATTCAAAGGAAGCAAAAGATTTATTTACAAGACAATAAAACCATGACTAACAACAAAAAACAAATAATAAAAAGGCTAATATCAGCTGGAAACAGCTAATTTTATCTAAAGGTATAAATAGTACCATAAAACTGTAAACAACTGTAACCCAAGGTTTTTAAACATAAACACATACAAATTACAGTTAAGGTGCACAACTCTTCCATAAGGCGTATGCATGCTAAAAAGAACTTAAATAACCCAAACATAAAGCAGCATTAGGCTGTAACCTTTGCTTCATCGGACCGGTAAGCGCTAACATCTAACATACAGTACTCTAAAGTGACAGTAGTTGCCCTTGGTTGCAGTCTAGCAGCTGCAGAATTAAATTTGTCTACAGCATTTTTTTGTTTATAAAAAGTAAAAAAAAAAAATAATAAAAAAAACAACTACATTTCCTCATTGATTTTTTTCTGAACTATAGTTCCAGTAATCCGTGACGTAAGGAAGGCTCTGCCAACTCATCTACAGTCACTGAATCCAGGGAGCTTAAACAATGACTGTGTCATTTTTTGACAAAGGAGGGTGAATTAAAAGGGCAAAGCTCTGGACCTGTTACTCATCTGCAGTAACAGAGATGGGGTTATCATAGGCAGCTGATTCAAGGTCCTTCGCTTGTTTCCTGCGCATCTCTGGAGGAGGCCTGGGAGGTGGGTTCTGAGGAGGATTCTTGATGCTCTCTGCGACTGGCTTTCGCACTTCTTTCCGTGGAAGAATGGGCTCCCAGTGCTCACCTCGAATAGCTGCCTGGAAAACAAGACGGAGTCAGTTAGAGTCTGATGAGCATCTATCTAGTCACCGAAACTTATACATTTTAAAAGCTATAAAGTTAAAGCTATAAAAGCTGATTGCTTTCTAAACATTCTTGTTTGTAAAGCTATAAAAACTGCGTTTTTAAACTGCATCAACTATATACACTTATCTTTAGCTTGACCACTTTGAGCTATTGAGGAGTTCAGCAACATCCTTGACCGGTCAAGTTTCAAAACTCTGAGGTCATGTCGCAACCGTGGAAGGACTGAGTAACAATCTCTTCCTTATTATAATTTCCTTGTTTCTGTACTTCCTTTCTTAGAATTCAAAGTTATCAATCTGCTCAAGTGGAGCCAAAATCTGGTTAAAAAAAAAAAAAAAAAAAGTCATCAACTTACTGCAAGATAGATGAGGCTGGCAATGCCGAGGCAGACACATCCAAGGACAGTTGCTAGCATAAAACCCCCAGGAACACAGATCCTGAAGAGGGAAAACAAAAGACAGAAAACGAATGATAAGCCTTTTTATTTAGCAAGATCCAGTGAAGAGGAGGAATGCTGTTTTGCAACCTCAGCAGGCCAATCCCACTAATTCACATTCAAAGTCTCCCAAAAACTCATCAAGTAGACTCCAAATGTGCATAAAACCCAAATAAACTCACGCTGCATGTAAAAATGCTCTGACGTAGTAGTTCCTCGTCAGCGGTCCGAAGGCTTTTACGCACACTGTGAAACAATACTGGCCCCTAACAGACAACAAATAAGCATCATTTTATGATCATCACATAACATGGGATAAAGAAAATAGAGAGAAAACTGGAGCACTGCTTACGTTCTTTCCACACTTGTTCCTTTGGCCCTCTTGCCTCTTGGATATTCAAGCAGACACACAAACACACCAGCGGCACTGGTTTTCTGTCAAGGCTGATACTTCATTAATTGCTCACAACCAGAGAAACAAAGTGTGCCAGTATAACCAAAATCATTTAAAAAAATACTTATGGCAGGACATTAACTACACATCTAATGCACAACATTTTGCAAATACTGTGGTTTGCACAGATTTACAGACAGTACTGTCTGTAAAGATCGATAGATAGATAGATAGATAGATAGATAGATAGATAGATAGATAGATAGATAGATAGATAGATAGATAGATAGATAGATAGATAGATAGATAGATTATAGTTGCATATTTCATGCATACAAGGACTACATAAAACTCCTTGAAAGGAAAGAGAAAAGAAAGCTATATATTCCCCCCATCGTCTGAATTTTTTGAAGTGAGTTTTAGGTGTAAAGGATACACTGAATAAGCAGCAAACTCCCAGCCTCTGAACTGGCCAGCCACACCTACTATTCCTCCAGTAAGAAGAACTGAAAGAAGGAAACAGGAAGGTGAGATTAATACAATGCACCTTCTGTGACTCCATGCCAAAAAAACAAGACTGTGTTAAAATTTATTATCATTTATCGTGATGATGCAGGAAATTATTTTTGCAGAAACGCTGAGAGAGAGAAAAAAAAATCACAACTTATATATTATAAAGTCAATTAGTTCTTTCCATGCTAAATTTTAAAATGAGCTCATTTTATTTAACGTAAAGTCTTCATACTCACTGAGCCCCGAAGCTAGAGCCTGTTCATTGGCCCACATCGCCCACTCTATCTTCCCCATCGCGACCACCTGGACAGCTGCTGAAAGTCTCTGAAGAGCTGCGGGACGGAACGGAGCTCCACAAGGAAGAGACTGTATTTACGTGATGAAAAGCACACAGATTTAAGGGCTGGTAGGCAGGGCTTGCGTTAACCTGTCCCTATTTCGCTCGTCATTTCCGAAAAGTTGCCTCGACAGCAGAGAGGAGGGGTTAACAGCTTCAAACTTACCGGACGGCAACGGCAAATGACGGGAAGAATTAGCGCTGGACAAGGAAAAACTAGTTTTTAATGTGTAACTTTTATTTACCAGTAGAATGTTTTATTGGTATTCTCTTCAGTAAGGAAGGTGTTTTTCTGACTTGCATTATCTTTATTGAAGGAAGAGAGGATTATTAGTAGTTAGTGGGACAAATCAGATATGTCTGATATTGAAAAAAGTAATATGCATTAATACTTTTTATTAATGCAATTATTACCTTCAGTTCTCACTATACAAAACTAGTAATGAATATTGAAACCCTTAAATGTACTTTTCATCAATTCAATTTTATCTTTCAAAAGCAAAAAAAAGGAATATAATCCAAACTGCTATATTTGCATGAAATATGAACAACTCTTCACCATGTGGACAATAAAACATAACATTTAAAGGTATTTCAACACCTGGGAATGGAAAATCAAACAGAAAGTATCAAAATCCAATTGAAACAAAAAATGTTAAAAAGTACAGCGATAGCTCAATTTAGATTAAATGGCATTTAAATTATGTTTTGGGGGGGGGGGAGAGTAAATACAGAACATGGCCAAGTTATTTGCCAAGTTATTATTTGCATCAACATTGCTGAAGTTAATGAAAATAAAAATATTTATGAAAAATACATAAAATTTCAAAAGATCCAGAAGAATTAACCCTTGACTAGATGCATACATAAATAAAACCAAAGTATGAACTTGGTACCAGAGTACACATTTATTTACAATGTGACTTTCTAGCCAACAGCATATTCAAAAAAATATTTCTGAGGCATTTTTAAAGACTATCAGCTAAAGGGACTTATTGTGTGGCAAAAATCTTACAAAAAACATATTCTTTTTTTTTATACAAAAATAAAAATAAAATG